TGGCAGATTATGCAAATTAGGCGATGACGTCATTTGGCGACTTCTAGAGACTTTTAGCAGAGCCAATAGCTACTTTCCTTACTGAGGAGTTGGCAACACTGATTGTGAGTGCGTGTGTGTGTGTGTGTGTGTGGTTCACAGAACATCAATTTCCACACTTCTTTTAGCCCCGGGTCCAGTGGACCCGAACATCTTATATGTAATAGAAATGTGTAGGGGGGTCTACGGTGTGTGGGCATTAAATATGAATTCTGATATATGTTCTTGACAGAAAATGAGCCAAAGCCAGTGAGTTTCAGTTTGAAAAATTGATTAATTGTATAATTTTTCTTTTAGTAAAAAATGAAAACGGGTCCCACAGACCCGAACACCACACAAGGGTTAAGTAGATTTAATAATGGATACTTTCTACTTTTACTTCACTACATTTCTATACAGCGTTTCGTTACTCGTTACATCCAAGACGCATTTCGTTTTTTTGATTTGTTCGTTAGTCTGAAAGTATCCAATGGCGAGAGCAGAATCAGTCCGCTGAACCAATCCAAAGCGGGAAATAACCATTAGGCCCTCCCTCAAGAAGAGCAGCACAGTACCAGGACCTGCATAAAATATCTAAATCTAAACTGTCACAGGGGGTAAACACAATAAAAACATGCTTTATCTGCAGCATTGCTCATTAAAATGGTACATTACTGATTTAATAAAACTAAATACGATCGGTACACTTAATGACATTATATAAGCCGTTAGGTATTATGGTTGGCAAGTACTTTTACTTTTAATACTTAAGTAGTTTTAAAAGCTTGTACTTTCTTACTTTTACTTAAGTAAAATAATAATGTGGTACTTTGACTTTTACTTGAGTACATTTTTGTCTGTGTATTCGTACTTTTACTTAAGTACATTGTATGAGTACTTTCTCCACCACTGCCATTTAACGTGTATTTTCAGTGAATTTCGGAATCACATTTGATCATTTCTGTCCATATATTACACAAAGAAATCGGTTTTTACTCACAATGAGTTGGGATGTTTGTTTAACATTATTTTGGGCTGGTTTCTCTCAGCATTGGCCTTTTTTACAACCCCAATTTGTCACTAAAATCGACAATCAGGTAATAATTTAATTTTAAATCCAAATCTGGCAACCCTTCAGTTTCCGTAAAATGGCTAACCACTTTTTTCTACGTCCTGAACAATTGGAAGAATTTTGAGAATTACAACAACGGAAAATATTTTTTTTGCATTTTGGATGAATCTTCAAAGAAAGCACCGTAGACGTGCTCCAATATGGTGACTGCTTTTTTATTCGTGGGTAAGTTCCGCCCAAAGAGGGACTGTCTGGCTCCGTCTTTCTCTTTTACGTCCTCAGGCGGAGATGCGATGTTGGGTCGGTGTCCCCTGAACTTTGTGTCACCTCACAAGCATTTTGTATTGTTATTTTTTTCAGTTTTCTGTGTCTCCATCACTCCGGGTTCATGTTGCCAGCCCAAAGAGTTCCCCACAGACGACGGACAGTGCTGCCCAATGTGTAACGAAGGTTCGTCCGATAGTCGACTGGTGTAAAGTAAAGTTGCCAAAATATTCACAGAATCGCGCTTCCCGCATCGGTACATTTTTAAAACACAGCCGATGCCTCTTTACGACCGTAGTAACGCACACAACGAACTACAACCTCACTTTTATCTAAATAAGCCTTTTTCTTCGCTGTTCCGACATCATTGATCTCTATAGGCACTCGTCGTTAGGGACCATCAACAAATTACTGCAGTAAGCAACATATTGACAGATTCGCGCTTCCCGCGTCAATAACTCGTAATCGGGACATTTTTAAAACACAGCCAATGCCTCTTTACGACCGTAGTACCGCACACAACGAACTACAACCTAATTTTTTATCTAAATAAGCCTTCCTCTGCGCTGCTCCGAGAATGTTGATCTCTATGTACACTCGTCGTTGAGACGAGTTTCCAGGGACCATCAACAAATTTCAATAACGAAAAGAGATAGCACAAAAGAAAATCAATAACTAAACTCTCATATATTGTAGCCTCACCAAAAATACTGTACACATCATTCACATCCTCCTGGTGATACTACAACTGATATTTAATCGATAAAATCATTTTTCATATTTTTATGAATATTTTCGGAGATCAATAATCAATAACTCAACTATTATTAACTGTAGACTCACCAAGATGACTTTACACATAGTTCACAACCTCCTACTGATACTACAACCGTTATTTAATCCATAAAATACATTTTCATAATTTCTATAAATATTTTTAGGGATCAATAATCAATAAGTCAACAATTATAAACTGTAGACTCACCAAAATGACTGTACACATAGTTCAAACCCTCCTGTTGATACTACAACTGCTATTTAATCCATACAATCATTTTCATATTTTTTATGAATATCTTCGGAGTTCAATAAACAATAACTCAACTATTGTTAACTGTAGACTCACCAGAATTACTGTACACATCGTTCACACCTTCCTGCTGATACTACAACTGCTATTTAATCCATAAAATCATTTTAAATATTTTTTATAAATATTTTGGGAGATCAATAATCAATAAGTCAACAATTATGAACTGTAGCCTCAACGAAATTACTGTACACACCATTCCAACCCTCCTGTTGATACTACAACTGCTATTTAATCCATAAAATAATTGTTCATATTTTTATTGATATTTCTGGGGATAAAAAATCAATAATTCAACTATTATGAACTGTAACCTCACCAAAATAACTGTACACATAGTTCACACCCTCCTGTTGATACTACAACCATAAATGAATCCTAAAAATAATCGTTCATATTGTTATTGATATTTCTGGGGATCAATAATCAATAAGTCAATTATTATGGACTGTACCTTCACCCAAATCACTGTGTACATCATTCACACCCTCCTGGTGATACTACAACCGTTATTTAATCCATAAAATATTTTTTTCATATTTCTTATGAATATTTTAGGAGATCACTACTGCTGCAAGTTTTCATTCAACCTGGGAAATAATTAAGTGTAGAAAACTGTACATTAAAGAGTTATTCCTCAACACATCAGAACTAGGCTGGTCCTGATCCGATATCTGGATCCGATCGGCCACCGTTATTTGCTAAAAACTGCGTATCGGCCACCAGGAGAAAACCCAGATCCAAACTCCAGATCCATTTTTTTTTAAGTCCGGTCTCACACAAGCGTTAGCATTAGCATTAGCATCTCCTAACCCAGGTCTGTGTCCTAACCATTAAGTTGTTATCAGAGTAAATCCCTGTTCAACATGAGTCTGACAACTAAGTAAGTAGATAAATAACTTTAGACTTTAGCACATGCTCTGATAGGCCGGGATCGGGATAAACTCGGAAGTGAAAAAGCTGGATCTGTATGAATCAGAACACCTATTTGCAGACTTTAAAAAACACAAAACCGAGATAATACAGAAAATAAAATACATGCCTGGACATTAATTCACCGCCAGCATATCCTCAGCTGCCTGTGATGAGTCGTGTGATGTGATCGATACTGAACAGCTTTAATGCAGGTATATGAACTCTGATGGGCCGCAAGAAAAATTATCATTATCACATTTAATCATTGTGTATTTGTAGCCAACTTAGTCATTTTTATGGTCGGCTAATATAGCTAATATAGATACATACAGCATGTGTTGCCTTCATTATAAGACTTTTGATTTTTTGCGGCTCCAGACATTCTTTTTTTTTTTGGTCCAATATGGCTCTTTCAACATTTTGGGTTGCCGACCCCTGCCCTAAAGCAAAGTAGAAAGCTGTTCATTGAGCTGTTGGTCTAACGAACGGCCCTGACCTCATGACCTTTGACCCGCTGACAGTTCCCTGTGCCCCCACAGGAACCTTTGTCACCAGAGACTGCACGGACCTCCTCAGAACGCAGTGCTCCAACTGTGACCCGGGGACCTTCATGAACCGGCCCAGCGGCATGAAGAAGTGTTTCCTGTGCACGCCCTGCGACCCAGGTACCGCCCAGCAGTATAGGGTATAGGTAGTAAATATATATATATATATATTAGGGGTGGGACGGTTCACAAAATCCACGGTTCGGTTCGATTCACGGTTTCGTGGTCACGGTTTTCGGTTCGGTTCGGTATGTGTTGATTGTTAGGAAAATGTATTATGTCTTGTATAGTCAGGTTAAAACTGAAAGAAAAAAGCAGGCTGACATTTGATCCATTATTGTGACAGTCTTAGGTTAAAGTAGGTGAGATTCTGGCATTAGAGAGGAAACGGTGCTAATTCCAGCATGTGCTTCCCTCTAAATGCAAACTGGTCCATACAGCAGACCTAGAAACTGCTGTTGGCGCGTCTGATTTTTATCGGCTACGCTGCTTCACTTCTTCTTCTTCTTGTTTCCTACTGGAGGTGTGAAAGAATTCATTTTTAGATCCTGTTAAAGTTCACGTTTATCCTGTGTTTTTAGCTGCACGCCAACAAACAACATTCACAACACTTTATTACGACACTATACGATCACGTGAACAGGAAGCTGGCATGTTCACGTTAGAGTTAAATGGCCAATTACAATTCGGTGCTGCGAAGACCAGTTTGTATTGTAGGGGGCGGAGCTTAGCCCAAGAAGATAAATGTACCTGAGTGACGTGTATTCGGTGTTCTTTGGTGGGATCGCGTCTTTGAGACAACATTCTCCAGAGAGTCCAGCGCTGTGATATCTTACTTGTGGCCGGAATAAATTCCATTCATTGCTTAAGATCTCTTCTGTTCATTTTTCCAAGTTTCCATAAGGACCGGGAGGTATTAAGGTTATAAACCTCAACACACAATTATCTCCCCGCTCCGTTGTTCTCATTTACTCACCAAACAAACAGGAAGGAGGCGAGTCTGCCTGAGGCTAAGAGATGCTTCGTTTAGGGAATATGGAAACATCCCCCCCCCCCCCGTTGGTTTTTGATTAAATTTAACCGCCCATTTCTTTCTAAAGAGCTGAAAGTCCGTCATCTCTTAGCTCCAGAACAGGAAGTGAATCTGTTCCCGTCTTTGTTTTTTTTACCTCAACGTGGCTTTAATGTGTTTTCAGAAAACGATGTGTGGCCCAAAGCCGGCGTGGCAAAGGCTAAATAATGCTGAGCAGGCACATTTTTATGCGATGTCGTTTTCAAAGATGTTCGTGTTTGTTTAGTTTATTGCGAAACCTGACAGCGAGTGTGAGATTCCAGAGGAATGGGAAGCATTTACAGGCTCTCCTCTCTGCTGTGTGGAGCCTTATGAAGTTTCCATAAGGACCAGGAGGAATAAGGCAGAAAAACCTTAACAAGTGCATGAACCGAACGCAACACACGCGAACCGAACCGAGACGGGATGGGACGGTTTTCAGAAACCGTCCCATCCCTACCTGACCCCGCCCTGACCTTTGACCTTTGACCTCTCCCCCCTCAGGTCGAGGCCTCTTCGTTCGCCGGCCGTGCTCGACGATGCGCGACACGGTGTGCGGCGTCCAGGACAGATTCTTCTGCAAAACGGAGGCCGAAAACGGCGGCTGCAGCCAGGCGGAGAGACACTCGCGGTGCGTTCAGGGCCAGAGGACAACAGCAGCCGGTGAGAACCCGCTGAGCCTGGAACAGAGGAGGCAGTTCCTGTGGATGTGGGAGGTCCAGATACCGGCCTATCAGAGCATCTATTAAAGTTTAAAGTTATTTAGACTAGGCCAGATCGGCCGGCAGGAGAAAACGCAGATCCAGACTCCAGATCCAGTCCGATCCCACATTAGCATTAGCATCTGCTAACCCACAGGCCTGTGTCCTAACCATTAAGTTGTTATCAGAGTATTAGCATTAGCATCTGTAACCCACAGGTGTGTGTCCTAACCATTAAGTTGTTATCAGAGCATTAGCGTTAGCATTAGCATCTGTAACCACAGGTCTGTGTCCTAACCATTAAGTTGTTATCAGAGTAAATCCC